CAGAGATATAACACTTCACTTAAAACTTTACAAATCACATAGAGAGGCAACTAACCTTGACATCACGATGAAGCAAAAATCTGCAGACAAAAAAGCTCTTAACATGGTTGAGAAATTTAGCTGAGTTTAATCCATATGTACATATTGCTCAACCAAAACCAAGTTCTTCAACCATGAAAAACCCAACTGGTTCTATGCAATCAAGTGCATAAAAAGAAAACAGAGCAAAATCATACCTTCCCAGCAGTAGATGTTGATGCTTGAAGCTGCAATTTCTCTCCTTTAAGCTCTCCTGTAATCTATACATCTCATCCTCCATCTTCTTAGCTTTGGCCTCTGCCTAGGGAAAAAAATAATAATAAAAAACCCAAAAATACACAAAATTAGAGAAGGTCCCACAAAGAACATCACTTTACAGAGAAGAACAAAAAGGTGAAATGAAATTATTTTATTTCCAAAGTACACACAGATGCAAACAAATATACATAGAAACATATAAACAAATATACAAATTCACATGCCTGTCTTGTTAGGGTTTGAAGAGCCAATGATTGCACCTGTGAAGCGAGACGGCTTCGGACCTCCTTGTGCTCCACCGCCAGCTCCGCCTATGTCGTGCTAGAATTTAATCTTTTAGTCCCAAGCCCTACTAAGGAGGGTTGTGCGTTATGTACTAGCCTAACAACCAATATGTAAAAATTCATCTCAGATCCCATATGAACATGAATCGTAATATGAATATGTGTGCTTGGAATTCATGCCACAGAAGCAGTTTAAAATCAAGCAGCAAAAATTCTGTAATCAGTTCTGGATCAAAGCATTGGAGCAGCATGCACCAATCCCATGCCACCTTCATAATAGAAATCCCTGTGAAACATAGAAACGGTCCAACAGAGGTCCAGTATCAGCCTGTTAGCTTCATACAAGGTCAAAGAAAATACCTGGAATAATAAGTGGTAGAAGTTAGAATGAATAATATTGCAATTCAATACGAAAATTTAGAAATATAAAAAATTGTTTAGTGGACCTAGATTATCATCCTCATTATTAGATGAAGAATAATAGGGGGGGAAAAAGTTTGATTATGATTGAGTTTCATGCAAATTCCGTGAGAGAGAGAGAACTCTTAAAGGGACTTAATACCGTCTTAAGAAATCTTTATTTAAAATCTGGTGCAGATTTTCTATTGTCGAAATAATCATGACAAATGCTGTAAAATATTCATCCTTTATATATATTCAACAAGTTATAACTTCTAACTAATTTAAATTGAAAGAGGGGGCTTTTTCAATCTAGTTATTTCTTCCTTTGTTCTCTTAAAAGGCCATAAAATGCAATAACAGGGACCAAACAAAAAATTCATCAAATACAATAACAGGGACCAAACAAAAAATGACAGAAAGAAATAAAGGGGAAAAAGAAGAAGAAGCTACAAAAGTGAGTGTCAATGCCAGATGAATGCATAAAAAATTCATGTACAAAGAAATTAAAGCAAAACATCCATATATGACCATACAATACCCCTTATAAAAGAACAAGCACAAGCTAAGCAACACAATGAGAAATGCACAATCGCATGAGAGAGGGTGAGGCTCACATTTGGCCCACGAATACGAGCAGCGATGTTCAAGGATGGGTCTGCTTCAAAACCCAGATACACACATGTGCTCAGATGATTAGTAACCTGTTTCAAATAGTCACAATTATTTGTCAACCCCATTCTGCAGGCTTATAGAGCTTAAGTGCAAGACATTTACCGTTCCAACATTGTTGATAGAACCTTGTTTCAACATCTCTTCAACCATGGCAGCTGCAAGATCAACTGCTTTTATCCGTTTCACTGTCGTCTCCAACTGCAAAAGCAAACCATAATTCAAGGAAATTTAAATCAAGCTAAATAAAAATAACAATAAAAGGAAAAAAAATAATTCGTAAATAGTAATACAATAACTTGCAACTGCAATTTTGAGTGATGAACTGATCCAAACCAGCAAGTTGAATTGCCTTGATCAAAATTGTAAGTAACATTTACAAGTAATATCTAAAATTCATAACACTTTATTAACAAGGAGTCAAAGACAACAAGTTGAGATCTGTGAGCCATCTTTGGTATTGCTGATAAACATATGTATTAAATAAAACGAAAATCTCTTTATATAAGAAAAAAGTTCATAATACAAGATCTACAAGGACAAATAAAGTTGAGATTTGTGAGCCATTTTTGGAATCATTAAGAGCCATAGATATTAAATAGGTTTTTTTTTTTTTAATGAATAATAAGCTTTATTGAGAGAGAGCATCAAGCGAATACAAGCTGTATACAAAAACAAAAAGAAAGAACTTCACAAACAAACAAGAGGTCAATGAGAAAGATATACACACGCATTACACATCTATGGTTTCTAAATGACCAAGGTTGGGATTAACCCTTTTCGAAAGTCAATTATAGAAAACAACCCAAAAAATTATTCTTCAATATATATACAGGCTGCTCTATACCCTTGAAAGTTCTCCTACACTGTTCTCCCCAAATAAACTACATCAAGCAGAAAGACAATACTAGCTATGATTTCCTCCTCTTTTCCCTGATAGGAATCCCTAAAATGGTTGGAATCAATACACAAAACTACTTAACAACAGCAAAATGAAGGAAGATAAGAGGCACAGATTCCCCGTCTTGCTGGTATAAGTAACACCAATTAAAGGCCCCATAGGTAAACACAGAGCCATGTCAAATGTTCAACCATTTTATTCAACCTTTGCCTCAGATGGAGAGAATAAATACATATAAAGCACTTATATGTGCACCAGCAGAAATGTGAAGATAGTGGCTTTTCACCATCAGGGGCTGCGCTTGGAGGACAATATTTGCCCCTGCAAATATAATTTATCAAATGCATTATACACAAGAATAAGATATCAGTACAATGGACCTCATTACAGCCTGCAATGACATATTTACCTTGTTATTACTACGGCCCCAGTGCACTTTTGGATCTGCAAGGTTAGTAGAAGAAACTATCAATCTCACAAGTGTTAATTTTTCAAGACTAACTTAAAGACAGAATAGAAAGTTATCCTTCAATCATGAAAACCAAATGAATAATTTAACCCCTTCCTGGGTCTGACGTTTTGTGAGTTTGTAGCGAACAGCAGAATCAGCATCATTAATGACAATTTCTCGAGCTATCAACTCATCTTGAATTTTTTGCTACAGCAGAAAAATAATATTATTCAAAAACTAATAGAGATTTAAAACAAACAAATAATCTATGCTCTAAATAAATATATAGTGAGGACAAGGAAGATTACACTTCAACAGATTGGAGCTTTAACATTTATAAAACGTGATGATTAAACCAATAAAACAAAACAATAATCTAGGCTGAAAATAAATATATAATAAGGGCAATGAATGTTACGCTTCAACCCTAAACCCTGGTACTTCCCCTTCCCCAAATTCATCCATATCACCATATAATAGTGGTAAGGAGGAAAGTTAGCTGAATACTCCACCACATTCTATCCCTCCCATCATCTCCAACATGTATTTGGAACCTCACACGCATTAGAACATGTTTGAATACACTCCACATTCTGTCCCACCCATCATCTCCAACATGTATTTGGAACCTCACACGCATTAAATTTTGAGCAGCCTATTGAGGAAAGAAAAAAAAAAGAAGTGATGCTTACACATTTTAAATAAGCTTCACAATTGTGATCAAATAGAACAGAAGGACTCCACTGAAGTAAAGCTAATACAAAATTAAATTCATAGATTTTTATTTTATTTTATTTTTATACTTCATTTTCAACATCCAACATAGGAAAAATGAAAAGAAAATCACACAAAATTGAAAAAATTGTAAAATTAACCAGTGGATTGATGTTAATGGTGGCTTGCGATTAGCTTGCTGAAGCTGAGGCAGATGCAGAGGCAAGAGAGAGCATCATCGAAGCCATCTGAATCAGAAAAGACGATGAAACGATGAGATCAATTTGAAACACTTAAAATTAGTAAAAAAATCAAGCAGTGATATTCGAGAGAAGTAGAACTTTGTTGAGTCTAAATTCGAATCGGTAATCGATGTAAAAAAACAAGAGTAAGAACACAAAAACAAACCTCAGAAAAGTAATGAAGTCGTGTTCAGATCTAGAAACAAAACAACTAAAAACAGAAAACCAACCCTGCCTTTCAAATAAAATTGATAATTCAAACAAAAACAAGAACAAATCACTGTTTTCTTCGTAGATCTATAGATACACATACATATGAGGCAGCGAGAGTGAGAGATGCACCACATCTACCAAAAAAAAATTGAAGGAAATGATAGATCTGCTGTGAACGAAGCTTCAGATCTCAAATCGGCTAAAAAAAAAATATGAAGAAGATGAAGAATCAAACCATAGACTTCATGATCTCTGTGTGTGTGTGTGTGTGTGTGAAAAATGATAGATCTACCTGATTGAAGCTTAACATATCATATGTTCGATAGATCTACCGTTAACGAGTAATGATAAATCGATTTTCATGATCCATTTTCTCACTGAGATGAAATCGCTCTGAATCTCTGAGATGAAATCATTGAGATGAATCTCTCAATTGCTCTGATAAGGGTTTAGAGAGGATGGAGAGAGAGAGAGAGATAGATATTTAGAGAGAGAGAGAGAGACAGTAAAGCTCACCTTCGTTGGTGCTCGCTTCCTCGACCTGAGAATGAACAAGTGGTGGAGCTTCGAAATCGCTCTCAGAGAGAGAGAGACAGAGAGAGCTCTCGATTTGGGTCTTAGGCGAATCTTAGATTCAAAATCAGGGTTGGATAAGAAGGGGAGACCCAGCGTGTGAGGCACAACGCATTTGGAGGCGTTTTTAAACGCCTCTTATTATAAAACGGTGTCGTTTTATTAAATAAATATGCGACGTTTTATAAAAAATATATAATATTCTGTTGTCTGTCACCAGTTGCTTGTAACTTTTATCTTTTCAACTTTTCCAGGAAGTTGTGAAAGAAACAATGGAGAAAGTCCCTGTTATAAAAGAGCTTGTGGATCACTACAGTGGACCGGACAGAGTAACTGCTAAGAAACAACAGGAAGAGCTGGAAAGGGTAGCAAAAACTCTTCCTCAAAGTGCACCTGCTTCAGTCAAGCGTTTTACTGATCGTGCTATTCTCTCTCTCCAGGTTGGGGTTCTTTGTAATGCTTCTATGTTAATTTTACATTATGGTTTACATAATGGTGCTAAACTTGACGGGCTCTACATATTTTGTTGATTCTGTGGCTTTTTGAGCTTTACTCCTGGTGTGGGGGGTTTTGTGGCACCATTGCTAGATATGTGGTACCTGTTGTGGTCAACCACGAAGATGGGTGCCATTGGTTCTATGTGAGAGATTGTTTTATATATATATATACACATATTGGGGAAAGTATCCGAATACAAAATAATTTCATCTAACAGAGGAAAGGAAACAAAATAGGAAATGTAGAAGCAAGAGAATAAGCTGTGTGATTTGCTAAATTACCTGTAAACCTTGGTAAAAAGATATGGCTTGCATTAGCACATACCGCTTTGATGTTAGCTCTTTGATGTTTGCTAAATCATCTGATTGCCCTGATTTCTACCCATGTTAATTTCTAAATGAGATGTGTGTATTACTAAATTTGATTTTCGTAGTGATTCGTGTGTAAAATTGGGAGTGTTACCAATGAAACACTAAAGAAAGTATATAGGGAATGTTTGTTGATGTCAGTGTATTATGTTTGGATAATTTCCTCTTTGTTGATACGCTTATCTCCCTCATTTTTTTCGTTCTTTTTATTACTTTTTTTTTTCTTCATTGTTATGTATATGTATAAAAAAAAAAATCTTGCTAAAAATATTAAAACAACTTGCATAAATCTGCAGAAAAGAATCTGAAAGGAATTATGAGTGGGTAACAGAAATTTGAAAGAACTCCCTTGATGTTTATGACTCCTCTTTGATTTGAAATTCTGCACAGGGAAAACTTTGTAATTTGTTTGTAATACGATATATATAATGCAGAGCAACCCAGGCTGGGGATTTGATAGGAAATGCCAGTTTATGGATAAGCTGGTGTGGGAGGTCTCACAGCATTACAAGTAAGCTTTGGTATGGCTCATTTCTGTCGATTGCAGACAGGAGTGGAAGTGGATTCACAATTTTGATCATTGAAGGTGGTTGTCATAGGGGATTTCAAGTGCTGCTGCTGGTTTATTGAGGTATAATTATATTCTTACTTTTTCCTTTGTTGAATACTGAAATTTTATTTTGTATTTGCCCTGTCTGTCTTTTGAGGAATGAGGATTTTGTAGGGCAAATTTGATGTTGTAATAATTTCTGTTAAAAGTAGTTTTTTTTTTTTTTGGGTACCGTGTCAATCAAGTTGTATTCATGAATGTCACACAAACAACAATTCCTTTTTTTAGCCTCTTTCTTACTTCAATGATGCGTAGCTTGTGGGATTAGCTGTAGTGCAAAACTTTTATACTCATTTGTACCCTTGTGCATAATATACACATTTTTATTTCTTTGTGGCTGGCTCTATTTTGTTTTTTACACTTTTATCCCTAAAAGGTGGTGTTTGTTTTGAGGGATAAGACCATGGGATTGGACTAACTAATAGTCCCTATGTAGGACTATTGTGTCCCATGGGGGCCACAAATGGGGAGATAAGGGGGGATATTAGGAATGGCAATGGGCCGGGCCGGGGCTGGGGATGACACTCCCCGTCCTCGATCCCCGAAAGTAGAAAAATCCTCGTCCTCGCCCCCGATCCCTGATGGGAAAACCATCACCTCCCCCGCCCCCGCGCCCTAACGGGGATCGGGTTTCCCTGACCCCAAACATTCCCCGGCCAAAAAAAAAAAAAATCAGAAAATACAACAATATTCATCATCAACAACAACAACAACATCATCCTCTTTTTCTCTCGAGATTTCCTTATTTTAACACTCCGTTGGTGAGCATTTCCAGATTCCTGTTCCCACTACCTTCTTTTTATTTTATTTTATTTTTTCTATCTTTCTTTTTTCATCAATATTTCATTATTATACATCTCAGTTGGTAAGCATCATCCCTTTTTCCATTATTTTCTTCTTATTATTATTTTTCCAACACAAAAAAAAAAAAAACTCTCTCTCATTTTTTTTTTTTTCACATCTTCACTTTGTGTTGAGCTGTTTTGCTCTACTTTATCAATCCATTTCTTTCAACCTCAAATAGGTTTCTATCTTCACACCTATTTGAGTTTGAGGGGGGGTTATACATATATCATGGTGAGCATGGTTACACACCATGCGA